CAACATGATCAATACAAAACCTTCCTCACTTATTTCTAGCCGTTTATACATGAGTACGGCTAGAAATAAGTGAGGAAGGTTTTGTATTGATCATCTTAAAATAGTTCTAGCTACAAATGCATAGAAATAATAACAACAACCAATTCCATATTTTAATATGACTAGTTTAGTTTAAAATTTAGAGTTTTCAAAGGTATGATCTTAATTGATAAGAAAAAATAATCCCATTTTTGATTTTCAATTTTGTAAATTTTTCAAAATTGAGTAAATTTTTCAAAAATTACTTGAAAAATTTTTCAAAAATTACTTGAAAAATTTTTTTCAAGTAATTTGATCTAATCATATTTAGTTTAGTTCTCATTATATACTCAATTTTTTTCATAAACATTTCAACCAAATTTTTAGAAAACTGAATAAAAATTTCCATAATTTAAATCTTTTTAATTTTAAAAGTTTCCTAACCAACATTTGATTGTGATTAAAAGTTTCCTACTGATTGTGATTTCATATTTGATATAATTGCATCTAAAGAAAGATTGATGATAGTAATGTTTCCTGTTAGTGAAAATGTATAATGAAAGCTTTAAAAACTTTAATTTTCATTAATTTAATTAATGACATTTTTCAGCTTTATTTACCCTTAAAAGACAAAAGGCTATGTTTTAAACCATTATAACATAAAGAATACAGCTTGTTAGACCGATCCGATCAAATAATTTGAATAAATATTAAGAGCTGTAATATCTCTCATCAGATATCCTTTATAATGAGAGTAAAATTTCAAAAAATTATCCTAATCCTCTGTTTTAGTGATTATTCACTAAAACAGAGCACTTTCTTAAACATGCATTATTTGAATGCTTTTATTCACTTTAGTCTGATTTATATGATTTTATTTTCAAAATAATAATTTTACTTTAATAAAAACTTTTACACATTAATTATTTTTACTTTTTAAATAATTAGACATAATTAAATTTGTCAATATCATCCAATAATCAAATATTAAATTATATAAGCAAAACAAATTTATTTTATTGAATTTTTTATGGTAAATAATAGATTCTTGTTTCTTTGTTAATTAGTTTCTAAATTTGTTTCTGTAATATAAATTTATTTTGTAACTTTTGTATTAGTACTTATGTGGAATTGGAACCATATTAATATTTTTATTTTAAAAATATAGAATACTTATTATCTTATATGTGTGTACGTGGTATATTCTATAATTTAGATTTATAGAATAAATTTACTCAAAAGTTTCATTTCAGAATGTGGATGTGATCCAATGGGATCTCTTAGTACACAGTGTGATTTGCTTGGTGGAAAATGCGCATGTAAATCTCATGTTGTTGGAAGAAAATGTGATCGTTGTGCACCAGGAACTTATGGATTTGGCCCTGCTGGCTGCAGACGTAAGTATTTCAGTATTTAATGTTCACATTTAGTGAAAAATAAATGTTAAAATGGTTTATTTAAAACTACAAGATAATCAGATTTAAGTTCAATGAATTTAAGAACATTCATTAGCTTGAAATAATTTTTTTTAACAGTCTGGCATTGATTTAGAAATGTGTATGCTTTTCATTTAAAAAGAAAACTTACTACACTTTGTTTTAAAATGTTTATTGATTTTATTTGGATGCAATTTATAGAATTCAAATTAATTTTTGTATGAAATTAGTTTGATCATACAACTTTATCAGACAACAAAGCACATTTTATAGTTGAACTGTCTGTATCCAATGGCTATTATAGAGATTTTTAAAATTATAATATGATTGTTATATGGTGACATAAATCTATTTTAATCATGTGAAACAAGCATTATGTTTTTGGATATTTAATCAAACATAGTACAGGTAAGAATTTTTGCAGGCCACATGCATCTTGGGGACTACAGGTTTGTTAGGCATTCTGTAAACAGTTTTTTTATAACTTTTTATTTAGTGTTTTTGAAGCAACTTTAAAAACCTTTTTAAATATGAAGCAAGTTAAATTAATTTCTCAGAATACTTTCTGGTTTTTTATTTTAAATAAATATATTTAAAGTATATTATTATTTTGTACAGTTGTATATTTTGTCTTATGATTTATTTTTAAAATGTTTAAAAATTGTTAAAAGCAGTAATATTAATTTAATTTATAGTAGAATTAATTGTTTTATGTTTAAACAATTACTAGGATTAACTAATATAATAAATATTTGTTTGATTTTAGAACAACAAATGATATTTAATAAAAAAAAATAACAAAATACAGAATAAAACAAAATTATTTTTTAAATCTTGTTTAATTATTATTATTATTATTTTCTTTTGTTTTTTGTTTTTTAAATATATATATCACACTAACCTTAAAATGCTTTGCAGATATTTTTTAACGTATCATAAATGTTTTTGGTCCACTCTAGGACCTTCTTCAGGTGGAGTTCTATTAGAATGGTGGACAAGCAAAAAACACCAACTCAAGGATCAATTGAGTGGGGCTCCAGAAAATAGTCCGCAGTGAGATGCATCTCCCTATTGTATTACTATAACATATGAGTGCCATATGCAGCTCTTATACTGAGAGATTGGGACTTATACTAATTCAAAAATAGCCTACAGACATAAGCTGGATGTATTTGGCATACTAAAGAATGAGAAAGATCAAGCAGACATCGAAAGAGTGCCTGGAGTATATAAAATTCTGCTCAAAGATGACGACAGATTCAATAGAGATCTTGTATATATTGGATCTATAAGATGATTGCTCAAACAATGCCTCTGTGAACATAAAACCAATATTGAAAAGAAGAAAAACACTGCTGCCTTAGCTATACAGTGGATCCTCACTTAATGAGCATAATTCGTTCCAGAATCTTACTTGCAATGCGAAACATTCGTTAAGTGAAACAATTTTTCCCATATAAATTAATGTAAAATATGATAATGCATTCCACGTCAGAAAAAATACTCAAATATTTTATGTATAACTTTTATTCAAAGAAAATTGTACAATATACATTAAGGAGCATGAACATTCTTCATTTTTTCTTCTAGCACAGAATGAACCAACCTGGAATGCAAATTCAATTTTCAGATAAAAATATCATGGATAATGTCTGGTAAACACACCAAACAATATGCCAAATTCTTGGGCTATGTAAAAGCTATAATTAAATATTAGAATTTAATTAATTTGAATAGAGGTGGGCAGTTATGCTGCCATCTTGTATTAAATTTAATGACCAATTCCAAATTAAATTCCAGAAATGTCTAAATTAAAAATTAATTATTTATAATTATTAAATTTAATATGAGATTGCAGCATAACTGCCTACCTCTAGTCAAATTAATTCATTTCTAGTATTTAATTACAGCCTTTACATAGCCCAAGAATTTGGCATATTGTTTGGCATGTTTATTATATAATGGGTTATGGTTGTTGATGTTTATATGTAATACCATATTTACTCACTTATAAGATGGGGTTTTATCCATTTTTCACTGCTTCAAAAACTTAGATCATCCTATATGTGTGAGTGAAGGATTATTTTTGTTTTTGTATAATTTTTGTAAACTGTGTATTTGCCTTTTTTACCAGATTCTCACCTTCTGGTATTTAAAACAAAAGTATTTTATCTGGATCGTTTGAATTATTCTTATGTATTGTCAGGAGTAAAGATGAATAGCCATAGGAAAAGTAAAGCTTTTGAATTGAATTCCAAAATTACATGGAAGCCCAATATAAGTTTTAATTCATTCCCATGTGAAAACAGATGATTATTCAGAAGTCAGAATTTGGAGAAATTCATAAATGTAATTGATGAAGAGTGAATCCAATTGTCAAAAAACGATCCCAATTGTCCACTTTTACACGAACAAATTAAGTTGTCAATTTTACAAGATATTTGCAGGACAATGTGTGCATTTACGTGCATTTGATATTTTATTTGTTATTAAACGAGATTTGTTATTAAATGAGAATTGTATTAATAAATCTAATTTCCTTTATTTTGATCTTTAAAGTCTCATCTTGTCCTATATGCAAGATCGTTTTATATTCGAGTAAACACAGTATAAGTGAACACAAGTTTGGAAAAATGTGTGATCACAAGTGACACTAAGATGCTAGTGGAACAAGTGCTAAACATAGACTGATGGAGTATGTGCACAATCCAGGACTTCCCCTCTCCTTGTCACTCGTTATGCGAGACATCGCTCATTAAGCGAGTCATTTTTTACAATTTGTTTTGCTTGTTATGTGAGGTGCTCATTAAGCAAGCATATATGACAGTGAAAACATTACACCTGAATTACAAAAAGCAACCATGATTTGGCAAACTCATCATATACACCAACTTAGGAATTTGGAGGCATTAGAAATTTTTAAAGTGGAATGCCAGGGCCTTTCAATCAATTTTAAAGATGAAAAACAACTCTTGAGGGTGTGGCAGGCTATGTATGAACCAGTGTTGTAATAGCCGATGCAGGTGCACGTTGTTAGAAATTTAAAAGGAAAATCAAAAGGAAATTAGAACACATTGGAAATGAAATGGAATAGAATGGAATTGCACCAGAAATGGGTTTTCTCTAGTAGAACTCCACCTGAAGGTCCTATGGTGGACCAAAAATGTTTGTGATACGTTAAAAAATATCTGAAAAGCATGTTAAGGTTAGTGTGATAAATTTGTCAATGCTTTGTTTATTAGATGGAGGATTATATATATATAATCATGCATGCATAAAAAACCAGACTTGTAGGTACTTGGGGGACCAAGAACCGAGTCAAAATAAAATACAAAATGGCAACTCTCTCTATAAACAGGCAAACCGAAGTTAGTTGGTGAGAGTACCACCGACAGTCGTTCTAGGAAGTGGATCCTGACCCTAGGACTGAACACGTAGTATTTTCTTTGTTAAATAAAATTTGTAATCTAATTTTGTAAATTTGGGAGTGCTTCAAATATGACATTAAACTGGTTTTATGTCATTACAAGTAGGTTTTTTAAATTATCTCGTATAGTAAAATCATGGGACCGATAAAAATTTGACATTATATTAGGGTTGTTGTTACATTCAATGATGTTATAATTGGGTTAAATTGTATATTGTTTGTGCAAAATAAAAAGTAATTTTGAATGATACAATAGCCATGATTATTTTTTTCAAAAACGGGAAATTTTCGTTACGCATTGACAAAAATTCAACTTGGGCCAACATGCAAGCAATGGAGAGAAATTTCAAAATTGGATAGGTTAATCTCGTTGAAAATGCATTGTGGATGACCTTTTGGTCGTGGCCAGTGAAATTTGAATGATCATGCCCAAAAGCAGTGATACCAAAGAAGATTGGAGAATGAGAACAAGACCCACCATGAGCGTCAAAGTGATTCTGCTTAGTTGCGAGTCTCCGAGACACAGTTTTGTCACAAATATGATTTTACCGTTTTACTTGTTTTAAATTTAAATTACAGTGTAAGTTTTATATTATGTAGAGAAGTAAACTTGAAATAAATATTTTAAAAATTTTAGTATTAATTTTGTTGAATATTGGAAATTTATCATAAATTCTTTAATTTTTAATATTATATGTATATAAATTTTTTATAGCTTGTGATTGTAATAGCATTGGCTCCTTGGACAACTTTTGTGATGTTCAAAGTGGGCAGTGTAAATGTCGTCCTAATACTTATGGTCGACAGTGTGATGAATGTCAACCTGGCTTTTGGAATTATCCCAATTGTCAAAGATGTGACTGCAATGGTCATGCAGATACATGTGATCCACATACAGGATATTGCATTGATTGTAGAGACTATACGGCGGGACCAAAATGTGACAGGTAAGTTTTGTGATGCTAATTTTAACATTATATACTGAAAGTGCATACATTCATTTATGTGTGTAACATTTATAACTGACTTCTGATGTTAACAAATGAAATTGAAATTCCTTTATTAATCAGTTATTATTTTAGTTTTCATTTTATTAACTAGAAATTGTAAAATATTTTATAACATCATAAAAGAAATGTAATAATGAAAGAGGAAAAAAGAGCAGTGAATTAATACTTATTATTATTTTATTAATAAAATTTTTTTTATAGTTCAAGTAAATAATTAAAAGATATATGTAAAGTACAGATATATTTTACATATTTATCTTTATTTAATTTGATATAGCAATAATGATAGCAGCAGACAAACCTTCACTAGTGGTCACCTAGATGAGTGGTCACATTTTCATGGTTTCCTTAATCTTCCATAGAATATGATAGATGATAATAAAATTAAATCATTAATTCATCATCAACCGTAACTCTGATTAAATAACAAAACTGTAATATCTTAGAATTTTTATTTATATTATTCACTTTTAAAACTTATTTTTCTTTGTAGTTCAACCAATTTAAATGGATTATTTTTATTATTTCTAGATTAAATTGAGAATAGAAAAAAAATCAACTATGCAAATTATAAGTTATAAAAAGAAATCTGTTGTAAAAATTTAAATCTTTTATAAATTAAGTTATAGTTTTTATTTATAATTTATAATAATCAATATTTTAGTTTTATTATAGTTACAGTATATTTGTTATAATTACATGGTTTAGCATTCAGATGCATTATAAAAATATTTTGTTAATTACATCTGATATTATCTATTGTTAAATATGAATTAAGTGAATATTTTTATCTAGTCATAACAAGAAATAAACTCAAATATAGATGAACAAACGTTTTATTATAAAAAAATATTTTAAACTATTTCATTTGTAATCAACTTGTGTAATAGTTTTCAATTTAAATTGAAATTTTCTGCCATTCTAGTGATGAAATAAGCCATAGAAATAATCAAAATAAACTGTAATTCCATTCATGTGACAGATATGGAGTTATTTTCTGTTTTCAGTGATAAGATTGATGTAAATAGTCAGAAAGTTATATTTATTGGTATGCTATGTTGAACATTTATAATTTAAGTATTTAACGTAAACAAATTTAGCTTGAGATCACAAATTTTTTCATTTATATTGTAAATTTGAATATCACTTTTCCTAATTAGTGTTTGGTCTATTTAAATAATGTAATTAAATAGTATATTTTATTGTCTATGTGAATTTGATGTTTAGTTAATAAGAATCTTGTGTTATTTAGATGTGAAGCAGGATTTTATGGAGATCCAAGGATTGGAATTGATATTCCGTGTCGACCGTGTGCTTGTCCAGGAACAATTGATAGTGGAATAAATCATGCTAGAGGCTGTGAAATTGATCCACACACTCAAAATGTTATTTGCCATTGTGATATTGGATATTCAGGTTTGTTATTTAAAAATAATTTAAATGTAAATGTTTCATTAAATTTTATTACTTAAATTAAAAAGTTGAATAATTTATATATATTGAATATAAATAATCTAATGTCTTTATATTTTTGTCTATTGAAATAATTTATGTACAACAATTATTTTAAAGAAAAACATGTCAGTGTAATATTAGATGTCCAGATTAAATAAAATATAATTTATAATTCATTCATTAAGGATACATTAATGTTTTAGATAAATTTTTCTATTAAAATTCAATATGATTTCTGCTAATCTTGCATGACTATTTTTTATGTAGAAGTGAAAACAAACTGTTTACTTCAAAAAACACAAAAATAAACTTTCTAATAGCATAACTTTATTATAAACATGTTTTTGACTGCTTTTATCAGTCATTATCAGTTTTAAATGCAAGTTTAAATAGAATTCTGCATTATCTAGAATATGATTATTTGATTTCTGTAATATGCTTCTTGTCTAGTCTTGTGTTCAATTATACTAGCTCTATTAATTGAATGATGATTTGAATTTTTCACATCCTATGTTTAAAACTACAATATTAATTAAAACTAACAGAACATAAACAATAAATAACTGTGCATGTATGCATAAAATAAAAATAAACAATTTTAACAAATATAACTACTATAGTATAAATTTAACATGCATCACTCATTATGCATCTTTGATTGATTGTATGTGAACAATTCAAAATGTAATATTTTCTTGAGAATTTCATTTATACTTGAATTTATTAAACTTGATTATGATATGTGAAAGTAGTTGAATATGTTAATTTATAATAAAGTTACATTAATATAATTTTATTTTTTTATTTATGAATTGAAAATTATATATAGTTAAATCATAAAATTTTATTCATGAATGAAATTTTAATGTGTAGATTAAATATAATCATGATTATATTTCTGTTGTTTAAAAATTGTTTATATGTAATTTATTTAATTTTTTCATTCAAATGATAGAAACTACATTACATAAAAACTTTTTACCATATTGTTAAGATAGGTTAGGATTGATGAATTTTAAGCTAAATTTTTATACAAGAAATTTTCAAATTAAATTAGTCTTTTATGCTCATAACCCATAGTAGAAATGACTAATTATATTATACTTCAAGCCCTATTTAGTACTGCCGCATATGTCTCTTTAGTAACTTATAAGATTACATAAACCATTTGGTTAACTTTACTATTTAGATTATGAATAAGAAGTATATATTTAAGAAATTATAAATAATAATAATAATAATTTATGGATTTATTTATTAACAAAATAAATTAATCACACTATTCTAGTAACAAATGATTTTTGGACTATTTTTGAAATCTATATTAAACAAACTATGCAATTATTAGTTACTGATAATATATTTTATAATTATTGTAGTAAAATATGAATATAACTTGTTTATAAATGTTAATGCAAAATTATAGACTCGTTAAAAATGATATTCTCTCATAATCAATTACAATAAATTAAGTAAATAAAAAGAAAAATTCTTAATAGTTTAGTTTTCAAAATGAAAGAAATGTTAATAACAACACCAAACGATCGCCTAATTATCGGGCTATAATATGGCTATTTTAAATGATTGGAACTAAGTAATTTGAAATTAGAGGTAGGCGTTAGGCACCATCTCTTAATTAAATTAATAATTAAATAAATAATAATTAAATAATTATTATTTATTTAATAATTATTTAATAATTAGGTGATCGTTTGGTGTTGTTATTATCTACTCGGGCTGTGAGTTGANCAATATATTATCATTATATAATATATAGAAATATATTTAAATAAAAATGTTTTTTTTTGTATATTAATAGAATATGAAATATTTTGATTTTTAAATTTTTCTGAAATTTTAATTTTATTTAGGGGAAAGATGTGATCGGTGTAGTGATAATTATTACGGAAATCCTACTGAAAGGGGAGAGAATTGTCAGGAATGTAATTGCAATAACAATATTGATATTGCCGAACCAGGAAATTGTGATTCTCGCACTGGAGAATGCTTGAAGTGTTTATATAATACAGATGGTTATTTTTGTGAGAAATGTAAATCAGGATACTTTGGTGATGCAACAAGACAACAATGCCGAGGTTAATATATATTTATTTAAAATTTATTTATTTAGTGTATTTGTATATTTATTGTATATAATGATTATTTTTTTGCACAAGCAAATTAATGATTGTCATCAGTAATTTGCTTACATAAACAATTAACTTGTAAATCTTTTACATAATTTGTACATTTAATAATTATTATTTGTCCAAATCTAATTGTGCATATTTAATTACAAATATAATATCAAGTTATAATAATGGTTTGAGCATTGATCCAGATCATAGATCTGTTGTTGTTTAGTATAAGTATCTTGATTAGCTATTTTTATTAAAATACTGTTGAAAACAGCAAAAATAAGAGTACAAAAACAACTATTGTAAGTATAATTATTATTGAATTTGAAGTCATTTATAATTAATGAGAAAAGAAAAGATCAAAATAAAAATTCAGATCACAAATGAGATTATATAATAATAGACAAAAAATTCTGTTAAAATTTATAAGAGAGTATAATTATGTAAATAAGATTTTGATAATTTTAATAATTATTACTTTTAAATTTTTTTAGAATGTGGATGCAGTATTTTAGGAACTGATCCGAATGGAGGATATTGTCATCCTGAAACTGGACAATGCCCTTGTCTTCCAAATGTTGTTGGCTTAGACTGTGGTGCTTGTGCTCCTAATTATTGGAAGATAGCTAGTGGTAGTGGTTGTGAAGCATGTGATTGTGATCCATTAGGTTCTTATTCATCACAATGTAATGAGGTAATTTGTTAGAAATTAGTATGACATATCTTTTACTTGTACTTAACAATTCTGTTTTAAATTAATTACTGTTAATATGTTTAATTTACAGTAATTAATTTACATTTAATTTAATGATATTTTAAGAAGTCATTTTGCACTGTAGTAAATTATTTAATCAGTTTTATATTGTTTATTATTAATATATTTTAAATTGAATGCTATATTTATGTAACAGTACACTTGAGTTTACAAATTGTTTATAGGAAATTTGAAAAATGCTTTAAGAGTAGTAATGTTTTTAGAAATGTGAATTTCAGCTTCTTTAGCACACTCATTAATACAGTGAATTTCAGCTTCTAAAGCACACTCATTTTCTTACCAGTGGCCAAATGGTCTTCGCACACCAAACACTGGGAGTTCGGTCATGGGTTCATGCCTCGCTCGGACGGGCTGACCATGTGGAGTTTTTCGAGTTTTCTCCACATATGTAACACCTAAATAGGGGCCAGTTTCCCTTAAATAGACCTCATGGAAGGCATCCCCCTAGGCAGATTGCCCAAGTGTTGCATTGCCATAACTTAACAAACAAACATTAATACTTTTACAATATGTTTAAAATTATTAAATAAACACATTTTTAATTAAAAATTAAAAATGTTTTTATTTAATAATTTTAAATCACTGTATATGTATCTGGATAACATAAATAAAAACAAAATATGCTTGATTTTTTTTTTTTTTTTAGTTTTATTATTAGTAAATATTCTGAAAAGTTCCGCTGTAAATTACCAATACATGATTCTAATCAATTTGTCTAACTTTTGTATTGCTTGTGATGGGTTATTGATTGTTAACTTTGACATTAATTTTTTTCTCTCATTCTGGTATTTTAAATTTTATTTATAATTTATTTTTTAATTTTGATTCAAAACCTGTACACTACAAAAAACAAAACGTAAATTATTCACATGCAATGAAATGCTTTTGTACAGGCAACTACAAACCAAACTCATAACACAGTTACAGCACAATTGTATGCTAACAGAAAAACAACTCATACTATTGGTCTGCTCTGTGATCCAATCCAGTCACACACAAGAATGAACCAATCAAAGGGAAAGAAGAAAACATGCACAACATACCAATCGTGTCTTACGTCAAAATAAACACACAGAACATCCAAAATGCAATACAGAAAACATACAGTTGGAAGACACTTGGAGCAGAGAACTTGGTGCTATGTTTAAGAATTTCCTGATTTTATAACATGCATTTAGTAAGGCAGCTTTCTGTAGTGTGAGGTTTGTACTATTGTGAAGTTCTGTTTCTAGACTTTTGTATAATGTATATATTATGACAGTTGTACAAGAAACAATTACAAGCACAATTAGTGTCCTAACCTTTTTCCAAAGAAGCTTTATGTCATGATTGAGTTCTGAGTATTTACTCATTTTCTTCATTGAATGTATTTTGTTTATTCTACGATGTATATGATTTTGTTATGTTTGTCAACTAATGTGATGTCTGGTCTGATGTGATGGATTAATTTATGCTGTGATTATGGCTCAGTAATAGTTTATTTTGTGTAAAATAATTTTTCAAAACTAGAGAAGTAACCAAATGAAAGTAGTAGTACACTTTGTATAACTCCATATAATCCAGGTTGATTAAATATATTCTGGAGTTATACAAGGTATATTTTGTGTGTTGTTTTCTGTGACCATTTGAGGTGTGTATTTAGTTTATTGCACTGCAATTTGAAAAACTTGAAGACCTATAAATTCCCAATGTCTGTTTTTCTGTCATTGTACATTCTTCCGAGGCCTGTTCTGTTTTACAGGCCTCAGAAGAATGTACGATAATCCAGCCGCCATTACCATTCTGTGGCCGTATTACCGACCGCGTTTGCCGTATTTTTAGGCAGCATGCACTCTTCCTGCCAATATCGCCGTGGCTAAACCTTAGAAGAGTGTTATGCAGTGACAGGGATCCTTTGTCTGTGCTAGAGTGGTCTGGAGTGTATTCCATCCCATTGGAAAGTACAACATCTGGTACTCATACCCAGTATATTGGAGCGACATCCAGAATGTTGTCTTGCCGCATTTCTGAACACAAACAATCTATTAGTACGGGTAGATGCGACACTGAGTTGGCAAGATTGGTGTTGCAACACCAATACATTCCGAGGTGGGACCAGGTGGGGATACTCAAACAGTGTGATAGCAGAAACATCTTGTATATATGGGAGGCGCTGTTTACCAGCATGCTAAATCCATGCAACACCCCCACGCTGGATGTGCCTTCCTTGTGGGTCAACTTATACAACAGATTAAAACAACGTCGCTAGCTCCGCATTCTTGCAAAATAATCTATTGCTCATGTGTGTCAGTACTGAGCGTGCATCTTTTAAATTCTCCGTTTTAGTTCTATTTCAATTTTATTCCAATGCTGGTTTGCCGTTGCTGTAATTTGAATTTGAAGGATATTAACTGTTCTTTTAACCTGAAGAAGATGAACATTGTTTCGTTGAAAGCGCTTGTTGTTTGTAGCGATAGATGTTGGTTATTAACGCTTAGATGATAATTTTCTCAACTTTGCTTATCCAATATTCGGCGTGAAGTCCAATAATATTTTTCATGTTTTTCTGTCTTTCCTTAATCTCAAGAACAGTGTTAGCTAAATGAAATTCAAGACCAGATAGGGAAAGCTTAGGGGAAGGAGGACCTGATTTACTATAATGAACTTTCGATGCAAGAAATGATGTTATTTCAACTCAAAAATTTTCCCCTGAAAGGTGTTAGATTGATGACCAGTACTACTCCATTGCTAATAGAAAAGTATGATGTACAGTGGCAAGACATTACAGTACTAATTTGAGGTGGAGAGCATATATTTTAAATTAAATAAATTTAAAATATGATTAAAAATTGCAAGCTTGGTATTTTGATAATGATACAATAAATNGTATTCTTGTTTACTTATTTATATATTACTCATAAAATAAATAAAATACTTACGATAACAATGTACGTTTGGATTACCCCAATAGTTTGTTTCACATTCATTACATCTTCGTCCTCCATAACCAACCTTGCAACTACATTCACCAGTAAACTAAAATTAAGTAATAATTTAATAAACAGTTATATAAAAATATGTTTGGTATTTATAAAAGTATTATTAATTTAACAACTGAAAAATTAAATAAATATGCTACTTAATTATACTGTTAAAAATTTTTAAATTTGGCAACTTTGTTATTTTATTAGAGAGGTTGAGGCGCACGTTTTAAACGTGTAAACGTGTACGTGTGACGTTCGGCGCCGCTTTCCCGTAAGCCTAAAAGTTTGACGATGGTGTTTGGAATGTCGAGCATAATTCCACCGACTATCCAAACACCATTGTCAAACTTTTAGGCTTACGGGAAAGCAGCGCCGATCGTCACACATACACGTTTACACGTTTAAAACGTGCGCCTCAACCTCTCTAATAAAATAACAAAGTTGCCAAATTTAAAAATTTTTAACAGTATAATTAAGTAGCATATTTATTTAATTTTTCAGTTGTTAAATTAATAATACTTTTATAAATACCAAACATATTTTTATATAACTGTTTATTAAATTATTACTTAATTTTAGTTTACTGGTGAATGTAGTTGCAAGGTTGGTTATGGAGGACGAAGATGTAATGAATGTGAAACAAACTATTGGGGTAATCCAAACGTACATTGTTATCGTAAGTATTTTATTTATTTTATGAGTAATATATAAATAAGTAAACAAGAATACATAACAATAAATGCAGAAAAATTCTTATAAATTAAAAATATTAGCAACAATAGATGACTGTATTTAAGAGTAGTTTCCATACTACAAGTCAAATAGTATAAATTATATTTAATAGATAAAAATATAATTTACTATATGTAATTATAAAGTTTTTATTAGAATTGTTACATATCCTTTTGTTCATATTTATCTCATAACTGCACATTTTAAAAGATACACTAAAATTTTACACTAAAATTTATTAAAATTTATATTTTTATTATGACTTGAAATTAAAATCTCTTTAAACATTTAATAATAAATATAGTTTAAGTTTTTTTAATAAAATTACAAAAACATTTATTAGCTGATAATTTGATATTTTAATTACACAATCTGGCAGTTAAATAATGAGTCTGATTGACTTATTGTTTAACTGACATTTTGATATACCATCAGCAGTTTGAAGTGTTGAGTAGCAACATCAAGTGTAGTTTCTATATTATGTAGAAATATTCTTCTGGTGTGTACGTTTCAAAGATGAACAGAAAGTCTTGGAGTACAATGTTTTGCAACAATTATAGAAGTGGATTGTTTGTATCAGGCCTAGTTATCCTGTTGGTTATGTTTGTGAAATATGTTTGCTCACAGGGCAGTTGCTTTGATGGAATTTCTAGCTTAAATGAAGATCTTTGTGCTTAACTGTTCGTCATACTATGTTCAGATATGCTTCTCTTCAACTACTTAGCCACCAAAAGGAAAACTTTTTCAAGATTTGAAAGGCATTCAATTGGCTTTGAGATCTGCTTTTCATGCTATGCCAAATGAGAACTCTGTCCAAGTTCCAGTTAGTTGACCATTTGATTGCATAATGCAGGTGTAATGTATTTTGAATAGAGTAAAACCAGTTTTTTCAAGTTTGTTTTATTTTTTAAATCTCTTTCTTGTTATTCAATTGCCAGATTGTGTAGAATAACAACATTTATGAACCTGACTTGCAAATAAACAAAATTATTTATTATTAAATTTTATTTTAATAGCATGTGAGTGCAATCGAGAAGGTTCTGCAACTACCCAATGTCGTAGAGATAATGGAACCTGTGTATGTATAGAGGGTATTGCTGGTGATCGTTGTGATCAGTGTGCAAGAGGATTTACTGGACAAGCACCTCATTGTGAACCTTGTGGAGAATGCTTTAACAATTGGGATGAAATTATCCAAGAATTGAAAGGTATAATATTTTCATCATATTCTTATAATACAGATAGTGTATTTGCCTAATTTTATAAATAATCAAATTTTAATCAATCTGGAATTCTTATTGTAAAAGTTTTGTTAAATTGGTATTAATTTAATAAAAATACTGACATTGAACAATCAAAAATAGTGTAAAATTAATTTCACTTTATACAATTTTTTAATTGCATTTACATATTATACAATTTAGGATTTTCACAAAAAAAAATTTGATATAAGAGTAGATGTAAAGAATCTATTATGATCAAATTATTATGAAAAATCAATTTAAAACTATCAGTTATTTGTAAAGATAAAATTATTAATTCTAAAAGTATTAAAAAAAAGGGAATTTGTAACACTATATTAATCAAATATTAATTTAATTCCATATTTAATTTACCAATTATGTTAGCATTATTATTATTATTGTTGTTATATGTATATACTAGCTGTTACTGCAACTTCGCCCATGCGGCTTTTGCAAGCAAACACCATTTATATTCAGTATTTTAACAACCGTAGTAATTGTTATCTAACACCTACCGCTGAGAATCAAACGAACTGTTTTCAATTTGATCAATTTTCTGGAATGTTTACAATCATTCTATAATCGAACCAATATGCAATAACAAATTTGAATTTAAAATGAACATTTTGTTAAAAATCGAAATATATAAAAATATTTATAACAATGTCTGAAATATTGTCAATTTAATACACCTAAGTACTCAATGAAGACTAAATGTAGTTGTAAACAAAAAATTGCATCTAAAATAGTACAGTAGAAGCCGTTCTTCCGGTTAACCCTTAATACTCTCCCTCTCTCCCCTGCAGGAGTAATTTCGAAAAATCCATTCTTAGTGTGCATTCCCATGGTGTACCCTAGTAAAATGCAGTTAAGAACAAAACATTGCATCTAAAATAGTATAGTAGAAGCCGTTCTTCAGGTTAAGCCTTAATGCTCTCCCTTTCCCTCCGCGGGGGAATTTCGAAAAATCCCTTCTTATTGTGTGTTTCCATGATGTACCCTAACTCTGTACCAAATTTCACCTCTTTGGGTTCAGCAGCTTGCCCTTGACGATGATGAATCAATCAGTCACCCAGTCAATCAGTCAGGACAAGTAATTTTATATATTTAGATAAGGTACATAGAATTACAACAAAAGAAACAATAATTTCTTTGTTTGTTATGTATTTCATTTTTTGAAATGTAATCTTTGTCTGTAATTAGAAATGTTTCAATAGAAAGCAGGAAAATTTAAGTTAGTTCATCATCATTTTACTTATAACTGAATTATTAAATTTGTCAAATTGTATGTTTTATTAAAAGATTTTAAAATTTATTTATCTTACAATTCTTAATTTTAAAAGGATAACTACAATCTAACATAATAAACTATAAACAAACTTAAATCTATTTCTTTTTTCTAATTATTGCTTCTCAGTTCCTCTTACTGAAAATCTCGGTAAGTAATTAGTTGCTTTTTAACATTTATTATTAAAACTAATACTATATATTAAAATTTAAAGAAAATTCTTTTTTATCAGTCATATTTTATCAATTTTGAAATAGTTTTTTCTTATTTAAATTTTTATTGGTTAATTATTAAACAGAATACTCGAAACAATATATGCATTATTTTCTCTCTCTAATGTTTCTTCAATTATTTTAGTCTAAGATCTGAGTATTCTATTTCTTTTTTAATGTTTTGTATCTTTGCCAAAATTCGATTTAAAATTTTTTAGGATTATCTCTGAGTTTGACATCGCATTTAGAGTCTGATCTCTTTAAGATTACTTCATTTTGAATTTAGGAATATAATTTTTGATAAAAATAATTTTTTAATGAAAATTTTGAAACATCTATAATAAATTTAGTTTTTATATTTTATATATGTTTGAAAATATGTTATATTAATTTATCAATCTGTAACATAATTAAAAATATAATTAAATTTATTTAATAGATCGCACACTAAGACTAATTGATGCTGCTCAAAGAATTAAACAGACAGGCACTACAGGTGCTTATACCAAAGAATTTGAAACAATGGAAAAACAATTAGAAGAAGTGCGTGAAATATTAGCAAGTGCTAATATTACTGGAAGCGATATTGAAGACTTAAAAGCTCTTATGGATCAGCTTCAGTATGTTGTAATTTTACATGTTTTTTTTAATCACAGTTTTATATAGTTTTATAATTTTGAAATCTACCAAATATTTTTTTTATTTTTGTAATTTATAAAAACATAATGCTTTCTAAACATTCAATGTTGGTACAGTAGAACCTCGAAAACTCGGCTCTCGATAACTCGGCACTCCGGATAACTCGGCCACACCCTGGCAGGGCAAAAAAATCCTTAGTTAATTAATTTTCATTATAGACAGCTTTATAAAAGTATAAAAGCTCTCATAAAGTATTTTTCTGAGGTCTGTCTTATCAGGTAAATTACTATACACAGTGTATTCATTAATTTTCATTTTCATGTAGTAAAGGCTCTATGCCTTCATAAAGGACGTAGTTTTCCTTTGTTTAAGGGTATTTGGGCAGTTTATTCTCTGTTATATTCTCAAGTAAACAATACATACAAGTACAGTACAGTATTTTCTGAGAAAACGCTTGTATTTATTTTTTTAACCCCATTCCCGATAACCCGGCATTTTCACAAACTCGGCCACCCTTTGGTCCACATTAGGCCGAGTTTTCGAGGTTTTACTGTACCTTGAAACTATTATGCAGTTCATGGGTTTGCCATCTCTGGTCTAGATAAATGTTTATAAAATGGTCAATATAGTTTTATGGCATTGGTAATAGTAGCTAAAAGGAATTTAATTATGAATAATTATGAATAATTTATAAAATATTATTATTTATGAATGATTTTAGGATTTTCACACAAAAAAATTTGATGTAAGAATAGATGTAAAGATCTGTTATGATCAGAATATTATGAAAAATCCATTGCTTTAGTTTTAATTATGAATAATTTATTTGTAATCAAAGTATTAATTGCCAACCAATTGGCAAATTGACAAAGGTATCAGCCTACATCTCTTCAGACCCTGGATTGAATCCTCCTTTTGAGCAACCCCAGGAATTTTTCATGACAGTCTGTCCTGGCTACGTTGAGCTTATCTCTCACCATCTGGCTATCCCACTGTGGGCATGGAAAAAAGGCCCTCTTAGTGCCCACAGAGTAAAAAACGAGTTAAAACTTAACAAACATATTAAGTAATAATATAATCTTTTTATTAATTCAGTCCTTTATTGGAAATTGCATCATTTGAAAACTGGTTGACAAAGAACTCCTGTATCTTTGCCAAAATTAGATTTTAAATTTTGATCAAGCCCAAAAGGGATTGGTCAGGTAGTAAAGAATGGATGTAATAAGTCACATATAAGAGTATGATTAATGTATTAAATATCCAAAAGGACTATATAAGGATTTAGACAAGAATTACTATGTAAGCATTCTGATTATTACCTTACTGATTAGAATGTCCAACTTTTATTTGCCACTAATAGATAACTTTACTGCAGCACAGATTCAAGCTTTCATTTATATGATAGGAGTTAAAAAAAAACAAAATTGAAATAGATGTATAAAAATATATAAGGAATGTAATTTGAAAATTCCTATATTTGTTGTTATAAAGTAGTAATAAAAATCAAGACATAAGTTTGTTAATTTGTGTCCATAAAGCACTTCTAAAATTTTTCAATTCTTCAGAATATAGCTTATTCAAATTCCTTTAAACAATAATGAAAGTCTTGTGTTAATTTACATATACAGTATCAATATATAGAATTTATAAAGATTTGAAATTGTTATTAGTGTAGTTTATTTTATAAAAAAATCTTTAATTATGAAAAATTAAATAAACTGTAGAAAAACATTTGAATGAATCATTCTAAATCATTTGTAATGGTTAAATTTTTGTTGACTTATTAAATATGTAAGAATTTAATTTTAAATTATTTAATGATTAGATATTAATATAATATTATATCTAAAGACATAATTTTGTATTTTAAATCAAAATATTTTAATTTTATCATTTTCAGGAGTAATTTAACTGAAAGTCAAAACATTCTAGATTCTTTAGAGCAGGAATTAGAAAATACAAATCAAAGAATAGTAAATGCAAATCTTGAACTTGCTGATTTAAGAAAAAGAAAAAATTCTTTGCAACATGATTCTGAGTTGATGAAGAATAATGCAACAGCACTTCAGGAGGCAAATGTTGAAGGTTACATAATGTTTTATATTATGATATATATATTTTAAAGTAACATTATTTAATATTAAGAATATTTATTATTTAAGGAAAAAGCTATAAGAATTTGTTAAGTATCAGATTTTAACTCTGCAGTCTGTCATATTTACGTACAAATTGATTAAACTTTTTACACTTCATCATATAATTTTTGGATGATTTATCATTTAAGTGGATTTAAGTTTGTTTTAATGCATACAGTTATAAAGGACTATATAAAACTTGCCCCTATATTCAAATGTGAAATTAATTGTTAATTTAAGATAAAAATATATATTTACTTAGAAACATTTTCATACTCTAAAAATGCTTTGAAATTAATATTTTGGTTATCTTAATTAACCAACCACTCAGCAGTGAGCGACGAATATATTCATCAAGGGCAATTGTGTGGCAGTGGTGAGGGATGAATATATGCATCAAACTCTTTTGGGGGGTATCGCCAAAAACTACCACGAAAAAAAAATTCACATAAAAAATAAATTATGTAACAATAAAAAAAGACTTTTGTTTACTAGACATAACTGTTTACAAAATCTTTTTTTGAAATAGTAATGAGAAAGTTGAAATGTTGAAAGGTTAAGCAGTTGTTTTCATGATGTATTAAATATATATATCATGATGTAATATATTTAAACATATAATATATATTTAAACAAATTTTTGATATTGTTTAAATAATAGTTACTTTCAATGAAACTTGATCATGATAGAAATAAATTTCAGACAATATCAAGTAAATATAAAAATATACTTTCCTGTATGAATAAAGTAAAAGATGGATAATGTATAAAGTTATAAATCATTTATTTGCAAAATGAAATCACTAAAGAGCTTTATTGAATTATTAAAATTTTATTCTAAATGATATATATTATAAAAATGACATATGTTATTTTTACTGCTGAATATTTATTTTTATTTGTATTTGTTAGTATAAATATTTATTGAAATATAAACATTTTTATACAATTATTAATTATTTGCCATAGTTATATTAATAATTATATTTTGATAAATAATTAGGAGCACTTAATATAACGAAAGAAGCACAAAGACGATCGAGGGCTGCAGAAAGTGAAGTGAGAGATGCACAAACAACTTTGTATAAATCAGAAGGTAACAGAGGAAGAACTGAAAGGCTATTAGGAAGAACTGCTGAACGCTACAATCAAACTTATTATGAAAATGAACTTGCTCTTAATAAAACTGAAGCAATGATTATTGCATTAGAAGATCAAATTCCTGACATAAATGTTTTGGTAATAAAAATACCTAATATTGAAATTTTTTTTTAAATATTTGTAAAAAACAACCTAATTTACTGATTGAATTGAAAATTTTCTTCTGAAATTAAATAATAATGATAATAAGCTAAATTTTTTTATTATAAAATTTAAATATTATGATAATGATCATTATAAAAGATTAATTCAGAATAAAATATTCAATTCAGTCAATACATGTTCAATTATCTGTAATAATTCAAAATTTTGCATAATTCAACTGCATTTCATAGCTACAATAATGAAACCTTAATATACATAACATTTAAACACTGCTACCTTGTAAATAAATTTATATTATTAAAAATTAATTTTAAACAATTTAAAATTAGGTTTGTGGAGAAAAAACTAGAATTAATGAATGTGGAGGACTTTGTGGTGGTGCTAACTGTCCAACATGTGGTTCAGAAAGTTGTACTGAAGGAGCTGTTTCTAAAGCACGTAGTGCATTGGATTTAGCTAAAGATTCTGAGTCAATTTTGAAAAATAATGAAAAAATTGCAAGAGATTTACTTACAGCTGTAAGTTTATTTTATTTATATAAATATTTAAGTTTAAATTAATAAATGTATGCTTAAATAATTAATATTGTTGAATATTAGAATATTTTTAAAAATTCAGATTTATTTTAAAGTTAATTGTATAGAATTGTAATATCTTAATAAACCAAGTTTACTTCAAAATAGATTTTTTTTAAATTCTATTATTGTAAAATATCAGTCACTGATGTGATATTAAAATTCGTAATTTACCAATAATTAATCATTATATTTACTACAGTTTAAAATTCATTTAAGAAATTTAAATAAAACTTAGTAAAAATATTTGAAATTACTAGAGGTAATAAATTATATTGTGATTTATCAATTCTGTATAATAATAATTTTACTATCTCACAAATAATTGCCAAGTTTCTAAATACATTATTTCAAAATACAATTTAAGTTTTTTAAAATTATTAGGTTAAAGAAGCTGAAAAAGATGCTGAAGAAGCATTGAATGAAGCAGAATTAGCATTTCAACGAGCTCAGGCAGCTAAAAATCAATCTGAAGGTGTTTCAGCAGAAGTAGGATTATTGTTAGATAATATTGAAAAGTTTTTGGATTCAGAAGGAGCTCGTCCATCAGAGATAAGAGTTCTAGCTGAAGAAGTAAGTGATTATTATTTAAATTATCATTGATAGATTACGTATTGTATGGATTTTTCTGTAGTATTTCATACCAAATGAAAAAGTAAGACATAAAGAATACACAAACTAATGATTGAAGTACAGGTAACCCCCTTATAACACGGCACTTCTATAGCACGGATTCGCTCTAACACGGTTCGAGAATTGGGTAAAACCCTCGTACAACATATTTAAGGAAAAAGCTATAAGAATTTGTTAAGTATCAGATTTTAACTCTGCAGTCTGTCATATTTACGTACAAATTGATTAAACTTTTTACACTTCATCATATAATTTTTGGATGATTTATCATTTAAGTGGATTTAAGTTTGTTTTAATGCATACAGTTATAAAGGACTATATAAAACTTGCCCCTATATTCAAATGTGAAATTAATTGTTAATTTAAGATAAAAATATATATTTACTTAGAAACATTTTCATACTCTAAAAATGCTTTGAAATTAATATTTTGGTTATCTTAATTAACCAACCACTCAGCAGTGAGCGACGAATATATTCATCAAGGGCAATTGTGTGGCAGTGGTGAGGGATGAATATATGCATCAAACTCTTTTGGGGGGTATCGCCAAAAACTACCACGAAAAAAAAATTCACATAAAAAATAAATTATGTAACAATAAAAAAAGACTTTTGTTTACTAGACATAACTGTTTACAAAATCTTTTTTTGAAATAGTAATGAGAAAGTTGAAATGTTGAAAGGTTAAGCAGTTGTTTTCATGATGTATTAAATATATATATCATGATGTAATATATTTAAACATATAATATATATTTAAACAAATTTTTGATATTGTTTAAATAATAGTTACTTTCAATGAAACTTGATCATGATAGAAATAAATTTCAGACAATATCAAGTAAATATAAAAATATACTTTCCTGTATGAATAAAGTAAAAGATGGATAATGTATAAAGTTATAAATCATTTATTTGCAAAATGAAATCACTAAAGAGCTTTATTGAATTATTAAAATTTTATTCTAAATGATATATATTATAAAAATGACATATGTTATTTTTACTGCTGAATATTTATTTTTATTTGTATTTGTTAGTATAAATATTTATTGAAATATAAACATTTTTATACAATTATTAATTATTTGCCATAGTTATATTAATAATTATATTTTGATAAATAATTAGGAGCACTTAATATAACGAAAGAAGCACAAAGACGATCGAGGGCTGCAGAAAGTGAAGTGAGAGATGCACAAACAACTTTGTATAAATCAGAAGGTAACAGAGGAAGAACTGAAAGGCTATTAGGAAGAACTGCTGAACGCTACAATCAAACTTATTATGAAAATGAACTTGCTCTTAATAAAACTGAAGCAATGATTATTGCATTAGAAGATCAAATTCCTGACATAAATGTTTTGGTAATAAAAATACCTAATATTGAAATTTTTTTTTAAATATTTGTAAAAAACAACCTAATTTACTGATTGAATTGAAAATTTTCTTCTGAAATTAAATAATAATGATAATAAGCTAAATTTTTTTATTATAAAATTTAAATATTATGATAATGATCATTATAAAAGATTAATTCAGAATAAAATATTCAATTCAGTCAATACATGTTCAATTATCTGTAATAATTCAAAATTTTGCATAATTCAACTGCATTTCATAGCTACAATAATGAAACCTTAATATACATAACATTTAAACACTGCTACCTTGTAAATAAATTTATATTATTAAAAATTAATTTTAAACAATTTAAAATTAGGTTTGTGGAGAAAAAACTAGAATTAATGAATGTGGAGGACTTTGTGGTGGTGCTAACTGTCCAACATGTGGTTCAGAAAGTTGTACTGAAGGAGCTGTTTCTAAAGCACGTAGTGCATTGGATTTAGCTAAAGATTCTGAGTCAATTTTGAAAAATAATGAAAAAATTGCAAGAGATTTACTTACAGCTGTAAGTTTATTTTATTTATATAAATATTTAAGTTTAAATTAATAAATGTATGCTTAAATAATTAATATTGTTGAATATTAGAATATTTTTAAAAATTCAGATTTATTTTAAAGTTAATTGTATAGAATTGTAATATCTTAATAAACCAAGTTTACTTCAAAATAGATTTTTTTTAAATTCTATTATTGTAAAATATCAGTCACTGATGTGATATTAAAATTCGTAATTTACCAATAATTAATCATTATATTTACTACAGTTTAAAATTCATTTAAGAAATTTAAATAAAACTTAGTAAAAATATTTGAAATTACTAGAGGTAATAAATTATATTGTGATTTATCAATTCTGTATAATAATAATTTTACTATCTCACAAATAATTGCCAAGTTTCTAAATACATTATTTCAAAATACAATTTAAGTTTTTTAAAATTATTAGGTTAAAGAAGCTGAAAAAGATGCTGAAGAAGCATTGAATGAAGCAGAATTAGCATTTCAACGAGCTCAGGCAGCTAAAAATCAATCTGAAGGTGTTTCAGCAGAAGTAGGATTATTGTTAGATAATATTGAAAAGTTTTTGGATTCAGAAGGAGCTCGTCCATCAGAGATAAGAGTTCTAGCTGAAGAAGTAAGTGATTATTATTTAAATTATCATTGATAGATTACGTATTGTATGGATTTTTCTGAAGTATTTCATACCAAATGAAAAAGTAAGACATAAAGAATACACAAACTAATGATTGAAGTACAGGTAACCCCCTTATAACACGGCACTTCTATAGCACGGATTCGCTCTAACACGGTTCGAGAATTGGGTAAAACCCTCGTACAACATGAAATGTAATAAATTTTTACATACTTAAGTAATAATAGTTCACGGAAATTATTATTTTCATGAACTATTAGTACTTAAGTATGTAAATTTTCTCTCTTCTCGCCTTCTGTCGATACACGTGGTCCTTCTCGAAACTTGTTTCAATGTTGCCAGATCGCGACGCTTTTGCTTCTGATGTTGCCAGATGTTTTTCCCTTATTCCATACTTGCTTTATTCTTCATAAGTGCTTAACACCATATAAGGAAATTTATAAAGACCTTTTAACTAGAAGCAAGAAATCTAAAATTACATACTTTTTGCAAAAGGTAAAGCATGGATCTGAAGATAATGCAGAAAAATGCTCAGAGGATAAGGATAACTTGCCAAAAAGAAAACGCTCTCGGTTAATTAATAGTGTTTTTAGTGATGACGAAGAAAACATTGTTTAATTTATATTAATATGTATCACTTAAAAAAATTTTTATGAAGATATTTATCTTAATTATGGAAATATACTAGCATGTTTTTTAATTTTTGGAACCTAACCCTCCTTTTCGTATTAGTTCATTGTATCGTATAACACGGATTCGCATAACACGGCAATTTTTTGGAACGTAACTACCGTGTTATACGGGGGTTACCTGTATTTGATTAATGTAAGAAAATTTTTTAAAATTTTAATCATAGGAGATATATCAAATATTTTTAATTGTTTCATATTATATTGGATATTTTAATACATTAATCATACTCTTATATGTGACTTATTACATCCATTCTTTACCTGACCAATCCTTTTTGGGCTTGGTCAAATGTGTAATATGCTTAATAAAATTTTTGCTCAATGTCTGCAAGGTAGAAAAGGTTAAAATATATACCAAGAATCTAAATTTAAAACTATCAAGAATATCCTTTAATAATATAAATATATTGTTTGAAAGAATTAGAAAGCTTTTCAAAGAATTATATTTGTAATTGTAAAACTTTAAATTTTTTCCTAAGAAAACTGTACATGCTTATAAAGAAACCCAAGTCATGATATATAGTAATGAAAAATGATTTTATTGAAATTTAATTAGCCTATAAAGGTATTACAAAATTTGGACTAAAAGTAAGTAGTTAAGCAGCCATCTTGGGTTAAATTAATTATTTTAGAACATTCTGGAAGAAATTATTGTTTGGAATGAGATTCTAATCCATAACTTTCATGCAAAATCTGTTGCCAATTACACTACCTGGACTTCTGTCTGGGTAGCATTTATTACTAAATATCAGGCTTGGTTTACATGTAATTTTACACAGTATGTACTATGCTGGGGTAAAAGCTTAAGTTGACTGTTTGCCATGGAGGGTTATGCTGTATATAGTTAATTAACTTTTAGGTTAGGTTAAAAACACAAATAACCCATGTCTTTCAATTGTATGTCTTCTAAAATTAATTAGTCTGGAAGCAAAGATCGGACAGCAGTCTGGGTAACATAATTGGTAACTCATCTGGGGCCGTATTCTGGTCACCATTTCTGGTGTCTCGTCTATCACAAGCCAGTCGCTGATTGGCTAATCCAAATGATTAGCCAATCAGCGACCGGCTTGAGAGAGACTAGAGACCAGAGACGGTGACCAGAATACGGCCCCTGCACAGTTCAATTCCTGCTCTGGATCAGTCTTTTCTTTCAGAGCACTTCTAAATTATTTTTTTCTAATTATTAAATTTAACATAAGAAAGCAGCTTAATTGTCTACTGTTAGTTCAAATTATGTAATATCTTCATAATTAATTACGACTGGAATTTAATTGAGCTATATTATCATTTAAAAACTAAAAACTATTACATTGCAAAAGAATAGTTCAAATTATTGAAAAATCAAAAAGAAATATTATACTCATAATATAAGGGGAATAACATATAGTCCTTTTCAAGAAACAGCTTAAAATTACAAAAATATCAAACATAATATAAGATGTAATCCATAAATAGCAATAGATATTATTTTTATACTGAGACATTGTTGTTTTATTATAATAAAATAAACATTTGAAAAGATTTTTATTTTATTTTCAAAAGAAAAACCACTAATTTAGTATTTACAAAATGTATATTGATTTTCGTGTGTAATTTAAGTATTCTGCATACCATGAGCAATTATTTAATTTAAGTGAATGAATATTTAAATAAATTATCATATTTTTTGGTATAATATACATTACAAATTAGTTTAAAATTATTTAATTTTTAATATTAGCAAAAGACAAAAAACTGAAGAGGAAATTTTAATTATTTTATTTTTTCAATTTCAAAATTTTAATAAATTGATTAAAAAATTTGAATATTTGATAACTTTTATCATGCTGCTTGATTGTATTAAACATTATAGCTTCCTTATATTTATTTATAGTGTATATAATACATTCTGTATATATAACAGAATATATTTATTATATATTGTAATATTAAAATGTATATAATATATTATTAATAATAAATAAAATTATTAAAAATATCTTTTTATTACTAGTGTTTAAAACAAAGCATATCACTCAAACCTGAAGAAATAACAGAATTAGCAAAAATGATCAATGATACTATTCAAAGTCTGACAAATATTGATGCAATTCTAAGAGAAACTGCTGAAGATAAGAATACAGCTAAAGCTTTGAAAGATAGAGCTGATAAAGCAAAGTAAATTTATTTAAAAATTTATTTTGTTTAAAATTATTTTATGGAATACTTAAAATTTATTTTACTGTATTTTTTATACAGAAAAAATGCAGATGCTATTTTAGATACTGCTAAACAAGTTTTGGAAGCATTGNAATGAAATTAAAATGGAGGAATACTTAAAATTTATTTTACTGTATTTTTTATACAGAAAAAATGCAGATGCTATTTTAGATACTGCTAAACAAGTTTTGGAAGCATTGGAAAAAGCAAAAGAAGCTCAGCAACTTGCAAGAGATGCTATCAATAAAGCAAGAGATGATATTAAGACTGCAAAAAGTGATTTAGCACAGGTATAAAAAAGATTAATATATTTCTTTTTTAATTTCCTGGCTGTTATATATAACAGAGGAAAAGTATGGTGATCAGTCAAAAAACGACCCCCAAGATTTTTACAATTTTGAACTGAGGACCAGAAACATCAAGAAATGCAAAAAAATTCAGGGGCTTTTTCTGTATGTATGGATGTTAGTGTGTGTGGGGGGACATGATTTTGTTTACCCTCTTTGAAGCTTAATAACTCCTATGCTTTTTGTCGAAAATTTTTGAAATTTTGCAGGAAGGTTTATTTGTTAGGGGGATTGATATTATTAAGTTTTGGTGATTAAAGGTTGAGGAGTGGGGAGATAAAGGAGATCATGTGTCATATCTCCAGCAGGGTCAAACTTAATGATTACTTTATTTGTTATTATTTTTTATAAAACTCATCCCTACCTTCAAAATTAAGCTTTTTGCCATTTTATAATAGTTAAAAATATAAAAAGTTTTTTAATAAAATATTGTAAAAGATGGTCCACCAAATGTTTGCCAGGAAAGTTAAGCAACTCATTGCTGATTTTTTTATTATATTTATAAAAATAATCAAATAATTTCAATAATTTTCTTAATAATTTAGATAAGAACAAAAGGAATTAATAATTATTTTATTTATGTTTTTTAGATTAGTAGTGAAACTAGAGCTGCTGGAGATATAGCAAATAAATCTATGGATGATATAGAAGCTCTACAGGCTAAGTTAATACCATTAAAAATACAATTTGCTGAAAATGAACTGAATGCTAAAAAAGCAAATGATGAAGCTGAAAAAGCTGGAAGATTAGCAGAAGAAGCGGAAGCAGTAAGAATATTTATTACTTATCTCTTTATTAAGCTCATCAATATTTTTTGGTTTCTTTTTATCAGGAATATTTTCTTACTACATTAGAGATATTATAGTTCAGTCATGATATATGCAGTCTTATTTTATGCAATTTTGAAATATGATTTATTTCTCTCTCAATAATAAATAAATTTTCATATTCATGAATATTGAATTAATTTAATATTTGTTCACATATTAGAAAACATTTTCAATATTAGTTCTAAACCAAGAAATCAGACAAATGCAAGTGATATTTAGAAGTTATATGTATTTTTTACTGCATTAAGTGATGAAAGTTGTCTTTATAGTTATATAAGTTGTCTATACAGCATAATTTAGTTGATTATTTTTTGAAAAATAGTCAACTGAATTATTCTGTATACTTTTATACTGTACACTGTGTGTAATCAACTTTTTTCTGATGCAGTAATTATAAATTTTTGCAATAAATCTCACTAAATTTTATCTTATTCATATCAAAATAAAATTTAAAAAGACATTTTTATAATTATTTGCATAAAATAAGCTGAAAAACTTGTTATATCAGTAAATATGTATTTGCTATGCAGAATGTATTCCTATGGCATAAGTCTAAATTTGTAAAAATTTTGTTTTATGCATTTACTTCTGAGTGGCTGAGTGGTTAAAACCACTAAACATTGGTAATTGGTTATAGCCTCACTAGCATGCTAGTCATTTGGTGTTTTCTAGATTATCTTCAGATATCTAACATCTAAATAAGAGAAAGTTCTCATAGAAAGCCTCTGGAAGGCACTCTCCCTTGGCAGATCTCCCAAATGGTGCATTTCCTTATTCCATTAATCCTAATATGTAATTCATGATTGCACTTCTTTTTGCAGAAAGAAGACATAATACTATTTATATAAATATTTTAAATATATCATAAAAATTCTGTAACTATTTTTTTCTTTGTTAAAGAAATTTATTTTATGAATATTGATATGATTGTGTTATTTATAGCAATTGTTTTTCTGTGACTAAACAGAAATATATTTAATTGATAGTAAGTAATTCTTCCAAATAAAATACAGTAGATCTTCAATTATCTGAATAATCGATTAACCAAAATTAACTTCAGAGAATCCTAATTTCTGAAATTATGAAATTTTTACATAATGATTGTTGGCAAACTTCATAGGCCCACTATTGCTCTCTCATTATCAACACTAGTATTAGATGTTATTTATTACAGTACAAATGGAAAAGCATGTTTAATGAGGTCACAGGCCTCTAATGCATCAAATTTTTCACTAGGCTTAAGCACAGTAAAGAATTTGATGCATTAGAAACAAACTCTCATAATGATCAAGCAAGCCAGGGATTTAGCAGAGTTAAACAGAAAAAAATATGTAAAATAAAGCATAATAAGTGACTTCTTTCAAAAACAGAACTTTAATAAATAATTTTTAAGTTAGTACTGTATTTTATTTAATATTAATTTTACTATTATGCATTTTTACTTTGAATTCAAAATTTAATCAGTATGTTATAGATCAGTAATTCCCAAACTTTTTGACAACTGTCCCATTGGTTCCATACAGGGATACCCAATGCTCAAACCCATTTTCCCTTGTGTGAGAAAGGCTTGGAAATATTCTTAGAAAAGCTTTTCTACTAACCTCCGTCTTTGTGTCCTCACCATGCATTGTTCTACACATCTGGAAACCATTAAATGCAATGTTTTTATACCCTTTTTAATGAAGGAAAGGGAAAGGTTGTCAATGACCCAAACCCTTACCTATGGTCATTGTTTGGTCAGGACCCTCTTTTCAGTGCTGCATGCCATTCCTTTGCTTCTTTTTCTCCTCTAGATTTATTCATTGTCTCCCAGGGGTGGTAGCACCCACTTTGGGAAACACTGTTGTACATTTCAATGGAAGACTAGAACTTGTTTTAAATAAATTAGACAATTTTTTCATTATTTCTTATCATTTGTATGTATTAAATTTTTATGCCCTAATTTTTTTTTACTATTATACTAGAATGAAAATTAATATTTTTTTTTTTACTTTATTTAAGGTATTTATCTTTTTATTATTTTCTTACTAAGTGTGATTGTTATCCAAAATTGTCCAGGCAAGATTAATTTGGATAACCGATACTTTTGTAAATGGATATTTAGTAATTGTATTAAAGGAAATAGTTTGGTTTTTTAAATTTTAGCATTATAATTCATATTTTCCTTGAATATATTGATTAGTTGAAATTTTTGAATAAATAGATTATGATAACTATAATTATACTAACTATACAGAATGCAAAAGAATTAGAACAGAAATATGAAGATGCCTTACAGAAACTGAATGGAAAAGCTAAATTAAGTGGAGATACTAAAGATAGAGCAGAAAAATTAAGGGAAAGAGCGAGAAAACTTGCTGAAGATGCTAATAGTAAACTTAAAGCATTACAAGGTAAATGCTTTAACATTTTTATTTAAATAATAATAAATTATAAAACTCTTTATTAAAAAATTTAAATATTTTTCTGAAGAAATGGAAGAGGAATTTGAACAGAATGACAAGCGTTTAAAAGATTATTCTGAAATTCTGGACAGACTTAATGAAGAAATGATGAATCATTTGAATGTAATTGAAGAAAGATCTGCCCACTATCGTGAATGTCAACCTTAACAAGTATACTTCATATTTCACTGCCATGTCTTACAAGTTACCTCAAGTTTCCTTGCCAAATGAAATCGGAAATTAATATTTGATGCCTTTGCAGTATCATCTGCCACATGGTGCTATATATTCTTTTGTGCATTTTTATTTTATATAAATTGTTGAACAGTCATTTAAGATAAATCCATGCAAAAGTGAATTATTGTTATTTTATATATTCTGAAACACAGTTGTCATATGATCATATCTTATTCGATCATCTGAAATGCTGTCGATATTGCATTTTCTGTCTACTTACATTTAAAAAAAATCATCTAGCATTTCTTTACTTAAAGAAATGTGAAAATTGTGCAATTAAAAATGTATATTAATTTTTTAAAATATTTTTATTAAATATTATATTAAAAAAATATTAATAATTATAACGTGTAAGACTTAACCACAGCAATAAATCTACTTGTCTCTATGAGGCAACTTTAGAATCTCTTACAAAGAATCCTCTTTCTACTAATATATGAAAGCATGTTCCAATGTTATTTATAATATACAGAAATATATAACGTAGAATTTTAAAAACAGTTATTTATTTCGTATATAGTTTCCATTGGCACATTGCTTAATTAAAAAAAAAAAATCTAAAAATTTTATTAAAGTCTTGTATAAATACTTGAAACAATAACATAAAATTGTTAAAAGTGCCAAAATATTAAAAGAAAGAATTGTTAACCTGTTTCTAATTTATGTTAAAGTAGAATATTCTTTGTTTCTGTGCACTTAATTTAATATTTTTAAATTTAATGTGCCTATTTTTTAAAAATCTTGACTATTTTTTATGGTGTATCATAGTTTTTATTCTAGTTGAAAATAGAAATTTGTAATAGCATTTTTTTTTTTATCAAAAATTTATCAGTTTTTATTTGTATATGTGTTTTATATAATTTTACTAAACATTAAATAATAGAATTTTTATAAAAAAAATTCTGATTTTTTTAAGATTCTTTTAAAAACTGATACAAATAAGAATTACATAAAAACAATCAAAAGTTAATGTATTATTAATATATTTACATTTTATATTAATAAATGATAATTATTAAAAACAAGTAAAATGTTAAAGAAAACAAATTAATGCTTGGGCATTCATATTTTTTGTATGGATTTTTTAAGCACATTATTTTCAAAATTAAAATTAAAACAATTTGATTTAAATATCCTTTTTTTTATCTAAATGATTATATATTTTGCTACATAAAGTTATTTTAAAAAATATAGATTTTAATATATTTTAGAAATTATAAACTGTGCATCTCAATATTACATTTTTATTTTTTGAATAGGATGCATTTACTAGCAATTGCATAACTATGATTTCTTTTTTGTGGTCTAGTGATTAGGATGTATGGCTTTCATCCAGAAGTGCCAGGTTTGATTCCTGGCATAGAAACATTTTGACAGCCAATGGTTGAGGTGTTTAAGATGTCAGTTTACTGCTCTGGTGGACCAGGGATCAAATTTGGATGGAGAACTAACAGGGATTTTTTGAGTGGTCTGTACTAAATATATTGGATCTTGTTCCTTTCCATCCAGTTGCCCCATTGTGGTCCTGACTAGATAGAAAAAGGCCCTCTTAATACTAAATCAAAAAGAAAATAATAATACTTGATCTCAATTCAGTGCTTTTACTCAAAATGCAGAACTAATGATAGATATTCTAATAGAAATAAAAATTTAAAGTTTAAAGATTATTATATGAAAATTTTACAGTATTAAGTTTTACTAGATTATAATGTAAAATGAATACTGCTTCAATATCATTGCAAGCTTTGGATCCATTAAAACCCAAATTACTTAAAAACAAATTGTTTTCAATTTATTATTTACTTTAGCAGAAAACTATAGTAGTAGTATTAGTTATGGAAAAAATTTCTAGTTACAAAAAAAGAGTTTCTGCTAGTAGCATGGAGAAAGAGGTGGTGCACCACCTCTTTTTATTAGCTCTTGTCTTTAGCTCCTTGTAACTATCCTCTTTTAAGTCATCCATCATTTTAATTTTACTTCTCACTAGTTTCTTTCTGCCTGTAAGCATTCTTTCCATAACATCATTCCATAAGCCTTTCTCTTGAATCATGTGTCTCATCCAATTAGCTTTTTGTCTCTAATATGCTTCTTTTTTCACCCACTCTTTTTAGGACTTCCTCATTTCTCACCTTTTATCGCTCCATTTGACATTCTCTATTCTTCTATGCATCCATATCTCTAGGACTTCTACTCTCCTAATATATTGTCTCAAAGTCCAAGTTTCAGCACCACAAAGGAAAACCAGTCTTTTTCTCAATTCTAATTTCAGAGGCCCATCCAAAATTGTTTTTTAATTTGCTAAATGCATCTTGCTTTTCCAATTTTCCTCTTAATTTCTTTCCCACTTCTGCACTCAGAGTCAAGCCAAGCACTCAGGTATCTAAACCTGTTCACTTGTTTCACTTTGTCATCATTTATATTGAGGGTCTGTGAGCTTAGATTGGAAAAAATTAACCCATTATCTTTATTTTCCCTAACCTCTATTAAAATTTAATATTTCCTTTACTTATTAATGTAATAAATGACTGTAGTATTAGCTGTATATGTAGTCATACCAATAAAACAAACAGATATTTTTATATCCTATTTTAGTTGTTGCATTTCTCTAAAATTGGTATGAAAATTGAACCATGGATTCATAATCCTTTTCTTTGTGATATAAACTGTATCACAGATGCTGACTTAACCAAAAATGAACTTATTGATCTTAGGACAAAAAACTTACTAAAGTTGGAGTTTAACTCAAAAAGTCTTGGAGAATTCTGGTGTTCCCTAAGAGAAGACTATCCTCGTGTTGTAAAATGAGCTATGGAAGCTTTGCTTCCATTTACAACAATATATCTTTGAGAATCAGTATTTTCAATGAAAACAAAAAGTCAAAATCGATTAGATGTCCAACATGACATGCGTATTGCCTTGTCAAATACCACACCACAATTTGATGTTCTGATTAAAGATAAACAACAACAATCTTCACACTGACATGTCTTTAAAAAAATATAATTTAACTTTAGTTTTCCTATATTTTAAATATGTTGTATTATTATTAATCTGTGAAGAAATAATCATTGTTTTTTATTTTGGTTTCTATATTTCAGTAAAACTGGATTACTTTAAATTTTATTTTTCATTTAAAAACATTTTTCTGAAAAGAGGACTGTGGNCTTCTGTTCGTTATGTTGGAGACACTGAAGCCGTGAGCGCGAATAGGGACCAATCCGAAATAAAGAGAACTGTTTTAATCTCGGTCTCTGTTAATTATCCATAATTAAGAAAGACGTGATAGATATTACTAGTGTGACAATTGGAAGAAGAAACCTTCACTTATAACTTTTTATACGCTCTCCGGCCTGACGAAATAGAGTCTGTCTCGTTGAAGTTAACTACGAAGGCTTTGAAGTTGTTTCGGCCGAAGCACTATTTTCTCTCGATTTGTAAGGAGTGAGGAAATTGTAGGGTTCCTCTAAAAGCCTACAATTTTCTTACTCCTTACAATTCTGTGCTTACTACATCGGGCTATCTCCTTATAGATAGAACAGAGGGTCTTGTGTATTGTTATGATAGAACATTCGGAAAGGATAGATATCTACAAACTGTTCGGGATAAGGACGGCATGAAAATAGACAGTCCACTTATATGTTGCTGTAGGCCTATTATCGTACAATTTAGAGGAAAAATTGCCGTCAACTTTGATGTAACGAAACTGACATCATTCAACAATTAAAATGCAAATACACAGTANTAAATGATTATATATTTTGCTACATAAAGTTATTTTAAAAAATATAGATTTTAATATATTTTAGAACTTATAAACTGTGCATCTCAATATTACATTTTTATTTTTTGAATAGGATGCATTTACTAGCAATTGCATAACTATGATTTCTTTTTTGTGGTCTAGTGATTAGGATGTATGGCTTTCATCCAGAAGTGCCAGGTTTGATTCCTGGCATAGAAACATTTTGACAGCCAATGGTTGAGGTGTTTAAGATGTCAGTTTACTGCTCTGGTGGACCAGGGATCAAATTTGGATGGAGAACTAACAGGGATTTTTTGAGTGGTCTGTACTAAATATATTGGATCTTGTTCCTTTCCATCCAGTTGCCCCATTGTGGTCCTGACTAGATAGAAAAAGGCCCTCTTAATACTAAATCAAAAAGAAAATAATAATACTTGATCTCAATTCAGTGCTTTTACTCAAAATGCAGAACTAATGATAGATATTCTAATAGAAATAAAAATTTAAAGTTTAAAGATTATTATATGAAAATTTTACAGTATTAAGTTTTACTAGATTATAATGTAAAATGAATACTGCTTCAATATCATTGCAAGCTTTGGATCCATTAAAACCCAAATTACTTAAAAACAAATTGTTTTCAATTTATTATTTACTTTAGCAGAAAACTATAGTAGTAGTATTAGTTATGGAAAAAATTTCTAGTTACAAAAAAAGAGTTTCTGCTAGTAGCATGGAGAAAGAGGTGGTGCACCACCTCTTTTTATTAGCTCTTGTCTTTAGCTCCTTGTAACTATCCTCTTTTAAGTCATCCATCATTTTAATTTTACTTCTCACTAGTTTCTTTCTGCCTGTAAGCATTCTTTCCATAACATCATTCCATAAGCCTTTCTCTTGAATCATGTGTCTCATCCAATTAGCTTTTTGTCTCTAATATGCTTCTTTTTTCACCCACTCTTTTTAGGACTTCCTCATTTCTCACCTTTTATCGCTCCATTTGACATTCTCTATTCTTCTATGCATCCATATCTCTAGGACTTCTACTCTCCTAATATATTGTCTCAAAGTCCAAGTTTCAGCACCACAAAGGAAAACCAGTCTTTTTCTCAATTCTAATTTCAGAGGCCCATCCAAAATTGTTTTTTAATTTGCTAAATGCATCTTGCTTTTCCAATTTTCCTCTTAATTTCTTTCCCACTTCTGCACTCAGAGTCAAGCCAAGCACTCAGGTATCTAAACCTGTTCACTTGTTTCACTTTGTCATCATTTATATTGAGGGTCTGTGAGCTTAGATTGGAAAAAATTAACCCATTATCTTTATTTTCCCTAACCTCTATTAAAATTTAATATTTCCTTTACTTATTAATGTAATAAATGACTGTAGTATTAGCTGTATATGTAGTCATACCAATAAAACAAACAGATATTTTTATATCCTATTTTAGTTGTTGCATTTCTCTAAAATTGGTATGAAAATTGAACCATGGATTCATAATCCTTTTCTTTGTGATATAAACTGTATCACAGATGCTGACTTAACCAAAAATGAACTTATTGATCTTAGGACAAAAAACTTACTAAAGTTGGAGTTTAACTCAAAAAGTCTTGGAGAATTCTGGTGTTCCCTAAGAGAAGACTATCCTCGTGTTGTAAAATGAGCTATGGAAGCTTTGCTTCCATTTACAACAATATATCTTTGAGAATCAGTATTTTCAATGAAAACAAAGTCAAAATCAATTAGATGTCCAACATGACATGCGTGTTGCCTTGTCAAATACCACACCACAGTTTGATGTTCTGATTAAAGATAAACA